CATACATTTCTATTCTTATTATTTTGAACACAATGGGATTTGTTAGGGTTGGTAAAAATAAGTGAAGGAACCCTTCCTTTTCACCTATTTGTTGTGATAGTAATGGTTCTATTTTGCTGTGCACTCAAGTCCCACACTTGTCATTGAAGTTCTCTCTGAACTACTTTTCAATTTCTTTTCTTCTTAGGGCACACACATTCACACACATCCTGAAGAATTTTTACTAGTTCATCTAGCAATGTTTTACTACCAATTCTCTAGTCCACAAGTAATTGTATCATCTACATAGGACAAGACTATTACATTAGGCCACTGATTTCTCTGACAGGTCCCTGTGTCAACAGTCAGCCCTGCAGGAAACACGTGTGCAACTTGGCTCATGCTGCAGGTGCCATGCTGTGCTGGTGGTGGACTGATGGGTAGCACACACCCTGCTCTGGGCTTCTCACTCCTGTCCCAAGGGACTTGCCAGGTTTGCCTATTGCATGAAGACTTTGGCACTGCCCTCCTCTCCTCAGCTGGCTCCTTACCAAACTTTTCTTTCCTGTACCTTTCATTTTGAGTTCTGGCATAGACCAACCTTATCGTTCAAATATATTGGTATTCTGGGACCTTAAATCATCACTACTTGATACTTCTTTTCTTATGATACTGTTTCAAGTATACTGCAATATTTGGCCACATTTTATATGTTGAGATCTCTCTTTGAAGGTCTCATTCTGCACTTTACAGACGTGGACCACATTGTCCTGCATAGCATCTTGAACCTCTACAAGGACTTATGAACTAGTCAGAAACATAAAGGTATGTGCATGTGGATTCACTTGACAAAAGAAACCAAAATATTCGTACAATCTATCATTACGCTGGCTTATAAGACATTTCAATATCAACCTCAATTGAGGACAATGACTATACACTATCGAGGACTTTAGGCTTAAACAAGAATGGTAACTTTTCTGCACGAGGGCCAAAAACCCATTTTCCAGAATATCTTCCCTGGCCCTGGAGTTCTTTCTACTCAGGGCCCGGGTACTGTCCCTGAGCTTTGGTAATAAAGGAACAAAAGTGTTGACAGTCTATCAACTTCATTCACAGCATTACTTGTGGGAAATTTGGTGATAATTGGCCATAACACTTTTACAGCTATTCCTACCTTGTTTGCCTTTCAATTGTGATCTTTAAACCTCATGCTCTTGAGCAAGTAAGAATCCCGATGTGAAGCACCAGTGCCCTGTTAGATCAGGAGATCTTAATTACTTGATCCAAACAGGACTCATGGTGTCCACATAACAGGATATATAATTCATAACATCATATAGCCATATGCAAAACTCCTTTTGCAATCACTTGGTAAAGGTCTGTTTACCTATCATTGGGTAATCCACACCCAAATTCTTCCACTAAATATTTGGAAGAATGTATTGGTTACACGTACCTCATTATTGGTCCTCAGGTTGAATTCAGGGGCAAAAACTTGTGAGGCTTCCTTTACCTTCTATAGAAGATGACCATTTGTATCACTGATTTTTCACCTTAGGGTCTTGCTTCTCTGCCTGGACCTTTCCATACATTAATTTTATAATTACATATCAGAAGTAGTAAAAAGGTAGGTACATATAACCAGAGCCATGCTTTTATTGGCTAAGATACCATTTTCATGGAGCTTTTGCATGGGATGGCCTACAAAACTATCTAATTTCAGCTTCCTGAGTAGTTAGTATTCCACCCATGAGGGAGTGTAATTGCTCATTTTTAATTGCTGGTCTGAAATTAAAAGAGGAAAGGGTACTTTACCAATTCAGTGAGCATTAAGTCCCTTTACTTCTGAATTCAAGCAAAGTGTTGGTCAAATGATAATAACAAAAATAATACAAAACATTAATAAAATGTTATCATCAGGCATAATTTTAATGAACATGGTATTTTGGTTCATAATTTGAGATATATAACAGGCCTAGGTAGGACTCCAGTCTGTGAACCATCCCTTCTCAGAAAGCATACAGTTTGTAAACATGGGAGAATGAGCGATTTCCAAATGGATAGTGTGTATGTGTATGTGTGTGTGTGTGTGTGTGGTACAAATAGGATGGCCAAGGGCACAGGTGCCTCCGAATGCCATTTTTTTTATTAGGCCTCTGTAGATAAGCAGAAGGGTTTGCCTGGGAATGTGGCTCAGTGTCAGAGCACTTGCCATGCATGCATGAGGTCCTGGGTTCAATTCCCCAGCACCACATAAGCAAAAAAAAAAAAAAAGCTGGAAGTGGCACTGTGGCTCAAGTGGTAGAGTGCAAGCCTTGAGCTGAAGAGCTGAGGGACAGCACCTAGGCGCAGAGTTCAGGCCACAAGCCCGGACCCCCCACCCCAAAAAAGTAGAAGGGTGAACAGTGTGATGGAAGGCATTAAGCGAGCAACTAGCTAAATCTAGCAATGTGAACTCCACTGTCCTTATCTTGTAAATGGAATCATAGGCAGGATTTAAGGATTCCTTTTTTTATTGTGAAAATACTGTGAAGAAGAGTTATTATTTTTGAACTATTGAAATAAATACTGAAATTGTTGAAGCCACAGGAAGCCTGAACTGGAGCACTGAAGGAAACCTCATGTTCCCAGAGACAGATTTCTTCAGAACAGCCCACAGGGCTAGCTTTTATGGAGGCCAAGATGAGAGAATCTCCTTTGAAGCCAGCTCTGGCTGGCTTCAACTCAGTTCCTGAGTTCAAAACCTCATATTGGCACAATAACGTTCCTTCATGAATGTGTGAAAGTATTGCTCTTCATGTAACCAAACAGCTCTAGACATATCTAGAATGACTGGCTTATATAGGATCTGGAGCCTTGGTCTTGGTTTATTAATTAAGCTCTTTCTGATGTAACAGAAATTGTTTCTAAATACCTGCAGGATATCTTTAATTACATAACTATACAGTGGCATCGATCTTGGCTCTAGAAATTCTAAATTCAGGTCAACCTTTCTGTTTCTGTAAAAGAAGACACTATATTTGTTCAAAGCCACATTATGGTAGATGGAATACTGGAGTGGATTTCACAGCTAGCAGTCTGCAAGCAGCCTGTTCTAACAAAGACTTGCAGTCCACAAATACACTTAGACAGCTTGGAAATAGGACAGAAAGGGGGGGAGAGAATAAAAACAGCACCCAGAAACCAATCAGCACCAAGAAAGTGATGAATTGGGACACCAAATGACGAGAGACAAGCCAGGAGAAAGCACACAGGACATGATTACAGAGACATGTGGCATGGCATCTGATGCCACTGCTGGTCCGGCCTAAATAGGGCCTAAGCAGGAGGCAGGTCTACAGGAAATTCCCATTCCAGGCACTGGACTTTCAGATTGAGTAACATCAGCCAAATGCCCATGCCTGCTTACAGGGATCCAGCCACACCCATCAGTTGGGAGGTAAGTGATGGATGGGGCATTTCCTTCCCCCTGCATGAAAACAAGATGCCAGACCCCACCATCTACCAAGTGGCCAATAGGGCACCAGCCACACCTGACCTCCTTACTTAATATTACTGTATTATTAAATCAATTTATAAAATGTTACATCCTCTTTATCGTTTTGTAAACATTCAAATATTTGCTTTTTGTAAAAGCCATATTTCTTGAGCTCCACCTCTGAAACAATAATTCTCACATTCACCAAAAATTAAACATTCTTCTTTTGAATAGTTTATTTCTTCCTTCTTCCTCATTGCTTCTCTTCCTCTTTCCATCTCTCACTTCCCTACTCCTTCCTTCCTTCCTCTCAGGGTCTAGAAGTGATGGTGTAGCCCAATGGCAGATGGTTTTATTCCTTTGTTAACTTCAATTTTTGAGAGAGATTGATCAATATCTTTGTGTGCTTGATTATTTCCCCTAATGTCATATCTACTTTGGCCCTCTATGAGATAACACAGGTGCGACACATCGTCCACACTGGTCTTTTATTATAGCTCACTCAGCAGAACAAATAAATGGGCTAAGAGTGAATCAATCACAAGTTTTTCATCACCAGTGATTAATTAAAGAAAAGTGCAAGCACTGAAGACACTTTGGGGTTCTCCCCCAAGACAAAATGCAGGGCTGCGAAGGTGGGTCAGTGGTAGAGCGCTTGCCTTGCATGCTCGAGGCCCGGGGTTCGATTCCTCAGCACCACATAAGCAAAAAGAAAAAAAAAGCCGGAAGTGGTGCTGTGGCTCAAGTGGTAGAACGCTAACCTTGAGCTGAAGAGCTGAGGGACAGCGCCCAGGCCCAGAGTTCAGGCCCCACGACCGGACCTCCCCCCCAAAAAATGCAGAGATTCTAGTCTTTATTAATCCATCATATTTTTTAAATATATATTTTATTGAAAGATATTGTATCGATTGGTTATACCATTATATGAGTTAGGTCATTAATACATTTTCTATCAAGCATTGTTACCCCTCCAAGAAAGACTTTACTACTGTTATGACTTTTTCTAGAAAACCTTTCCAATTTTTCTACATATGATTTTTCTCCTCTTTGTGTGTGAGGGTGTATGTGTGTCTGTGTGTTTTGTGTGTTCTGTGATGAACCCTGAGCTGTGTCTTGTAGTTCGAGGACTCCACATCTGCTATATCATAAGGTCTGTATCCTGTATTGGTTCTGTATTGCAATTTCAATTTTCTTACAGATCAAAGACTTTCCCATTTGGTACAATCCTAAGTTATTTCATTTGTGTGAATCAACTTATGTGTGTTAAGCTGTCTTTCCACATTGGTCACATTCATAAGGTTTCTCTCTTTGTGTCTGTGATGGATGTTAAGTTGTGCCTTCCAGGTGAAAGAATTTCCATGCCTGCTACATACATAATATTTCTCTCTGGTTGGTTTTTTTCTGATGGACAGAAAGGTGTATGTTCTGCATGAAAGATTTTCTACATAGGTCACATTCATAAAATTTCTCTCCTGTGTGTGCTCTCTGGTGGATAGTAAGTTGTAGCTTCTGGCTGAAAATCTTTCCGCAATCATGACATTCATAAGGTTTCTTTCCTGTGTTTTTTCTGATGGACAGTGAGGTTTGACTTCCAGGTGAAAGTCATTCCACACAGGTTACATTCATAAGGTTTCCTTCCTGTGTGTATTATCTGATGGACATTGATGCTTGACTTCCAAGAGAAGGACTTTCCACACATGTTACATTCATAAGGTCTCTCTAATGTGTGTGTTTTCTGGTGCACAGTAAGGTTTCTTTTATGGGAGAAAGACTTTCGACACAAGTTGCATTCATAAGTTTTCTCTCTGGTATGTGTTCTCTGATGGAGATTAAGATTTGATTTCTTGGTGAAAGATTTTCCACACATCTTACATTCATAAGGTTTCTCTCCTGTGTGTGTTCTCTGGTGCAGAGTAAGATATGCCTTGCAGGAGAAAGACTTTCCACAAATGTTACATTCAAAAGGTTTCTCTCTAGTATGTGTTCTCTGATGGCGATTAAGATTTGATTTCTTGGTGAAAGATTTTCCACACATCTTACATTCATAAGGTTTCTCTCCTGTGTGTGTTCTCTGGTGCAGAGTAAGATATGCCTTGCAGGAGAAAGACTTCCCACAAATGTTACATTCAAAAAGTTTCTCTCTAGTATGTGTTCTCTGATGGAGATTAAGATTTGATTTCTTGGTGAAAGATTTTCCACACATCTTACATTCATAAGGTTTCTCTCCTGTGTGTGTTCTCTGGTGCAGAGTAAGGTATTCCTTGCAGGAGAAAGACTTTCCACAAATGTTACATTCAAAAGGTTTCTCTTTTGTGTGTGTTCTCTCGTGGCGAGTAAGGTTTGATTTCTCGGTGAAAGACTTTCGACACACATTACATTCATAAGGTTTCTCTTTTGTGTGTGTTCTCTGGTGGTGAGTAAGCTTTGATTTCTCGGTGAAAGACTTTCGACACATGTTACATTCATAAGGTTTCTCTCCTGTGTGTGTTCTCTGGTGGAGAGTAAGCATCGATTTCTGGGTGAAAGATTTTCCACACTTGTTACATTCATAAGGTTTCTCTCCTGTGTGTGTTCTCTGGTGGAGAGTAAGATATGCCTTCCAGGAGAAAGACTTTCCACACATGTTACATTCATAAGGTTTCTCTCCTTTGTGTGTTCTCTGGTGGACAGGAAGGTAAGTCTTCCAGGTGAAAGACTTTCCACACATGTTACATTCATAAGGTTTCTCTCCTGTGTGTGTTCTCTGGTGGACAGTAAGGTATGTCTTCGAGGTGAAAGATTTTCCACACATGTTACATTCATAAGGTTTCTCTCCTGTGTGTGTTCTCTGGTGTCTAGTAAGATATTCCTTCCAGGAGAAAGACTTTCCACAAATGTTACATTCAAAAGGTTTCTCTTTTGTGTGTGTTCTCTGGTGAACAGTAAGCTTTGATTTCTGGATGAAAGACTTTCCACAAACGTTACATTCATAAGGTTTCTCTCTAGTATGTGTTCTCTGGTGGACAGTAAGCTTTGATTTCTCGGTGAAAGACTTTCCACACTTGTTACATTCATAAGGTTTCTCTCCTGTGTGTGTTCTCTGGTGTCTAGTAAGATATGCCTTGCATATGAAAGATTTTCCACAAATGTTACATTGAAAAGGTTTCTCTTTTGTGTGTGTTCTCTGGTGGACAGTAAGCTTTGATTTCTGGGTGAAAGACTTTTGACACATGTTACATTCATAAGGTTTCTCTCCTTTGTGTTTTCTCTGAGGGACAACAGGGTGTTTCTTCTCAGTGAAAGACTTTTCACACTGTTTACATTCGTCAACTACAGAAGACACATGAGTACTATATGCAGCACACATCTTACCAGGTTCACTGAAAATACCCATGCTCTGACAGCCAGTGACCTTTTCTATCCTCATCCCTAAGGAGTTCCGATTATTCTTAATCAGTTCTGACTTCTGTATGGAGCTCAAATGAAAACTTCTTATAAGTCTCACTTTTTCCTCCCCTAGGTTACTATTCATGATTGCTACTTCAGAGAGATATTTATTGTGACGTTCCTGGAAGGTGCTAATCACATCCTCCACTTGTGGGACATCTAAAATGAATAATAGAAAAATAAACAAAAACATAAATGAGATCCATATATTCCTTAATGTAAAGATATTTCCTCACATTCTGTTACAATATTTTGAAATATCAAAGCATTGCTTTATGCAGAATATATATATTTCTCTGCAATGTAGTAATTAAGAAAGTAGTACTGACATTTTACAATGGAAAATAATGTTTTTCTGTATTTCAGATTTTTATATTTTTCTCAAGGAAATATTTACTCAAATTATTCATCTCTGTACTCGTAATGCTTCCATTCTGAATCTCCCTCTATGCCCAGCACCACTGATAAGAAATTGTCCTGATCCTATTTTCCTCCTACCTGCAAAACACTAGTTTAAAATGAGATCTCTTTACTACATTTCTTATTGTCTTTTTCTCTTTATGAATGACTTCTCTACAGACAAAGAGAAGTGCTAACATTAACTACACTGGAACATCAAATTCAGTTTGTCTCCACGAGAATTCTGGATTGACAATTCCTTGAGACAAAGGATCACCTAGTTGTCTTCCATACATGACTCAAGGGCACTAGGAATACTATTGCTCTTTACAGCTCAAGATAAACAGACCCACTGGGCTCTGGACCCAACATCACTATTCAAGATGCTTTAACTCACCTGTGAAATTCTCTTCTGAGTCTTCTCTCATCCATGGTTCTGCACCTTGCTCCAGCTTCACAATCAATATAGGTTTAGGAACACAGTGCCCTGTGAGTAAGAAATAGTGGAGAACTATTGCTCTTGCTGGGTCATCATTAATGTAATGTTGCAGACATCCTGTTCACTGGGTTGCTCCTAAATCTGGTTTCTCAATTGTTTTATTTTTTGGGGGGTGGGATCGGTTGTGGGGCCTGAACTCTGAGCCTAGGAGCTGTATCACACCTCCTAAACTCAAGGCTAGCACTCTACCATTTGAGCCACAATGCCAATTCTGGCTCTTTTTTTCTGCTTTTTTGGTGCTGAGGAATCGAACACAGGGCCGCAAGCATGCAAGGCACGGGCTCTACCACTGAGCCACCTTCCCAGTCCATGGTTTCTCAATTCTTAACAGCTCCATGGTGTACTTTCCCCCAGCTTTGGGTTTATTTTCCCAATGTGTGGCTTGGACTCAGCTCTTTTGCTCAAATCTAGCATTCTACTAGTTTGTGTCTTGGCTACATTTCTAGTTTTTGAATGGTTATTGGAGATAAGAGTCTCATGTTCATTTTTCTATAGTTGCTGGCTTTAAACCAAAATCCTCAGATTTCAGCCTACAGAGTATCTAGAATTCCAAGCTTGAAACAATGCAACCTATGTCAGGTTTGGCTTACAAATACACACTTTCACACTTTCACCTACTGATTTCCAGATCATGCTGACAGTAGTAATGTATATTCTATCTAGAGTGTAGATCCACCTATAATAATCACCCCATGTCTGGAAAGTCAGTCTCCTATTAGTGGATCATAGTTTAGAACTTTTGTCCAACTACTGATTAGAAATCTTAAAGACTGAGAATAAAATTAGCTCATGAGTTACACATAATGAAGTTGAAGTTTCCCTTAGGAAGAAATGACACTTCCCATGGACTGTAATCTTTTTTTTTTTAAAACAAAATGTAATGGTCCAAAGGCTTACATTTCTAACCCTACATTTAGGAGGTAAGATCAGAAGAGGCAGGCTTGAAACCAACCTGGGCATGGAAATTCAGAATATACCCCAAAACAAAAGCCAAAATAGAGTGGTGGCTCAAGCAGTAGTGTGAAAGGCAAACAACATCAAGCTCCCAGACCTGAATTTGGCTGGCTTTTATACTAGCAGTTTTTTTACAAGGGAATGGACTGGAATCTTATACCTAAATAACATAGTCAAATGTCTACTAAAATAAAAGCACTTGATCTTCCAAATAAAAGTGACCTTTGCTCACCCAAGGACATTAGGTTGTTATAAGTTTCCAGCATTACTTCTCTATGAAGGGTCCTCTGACAAGGATCCAGATCCTGCCACTCCTTCCAGGTAAAGTACACAGCCACATCATCAAATGACATCAGCTTCTGTAATGGCACATTTCCATCAAGAAATTAGACCTGGGTCAAGAGAATTCCAATCTGGAATTTCATTATGCAGCAGGTATGCTTTTGTCTTACATAAAATGTTTGCAGCTGGCTATGTTATCTTTTCACTGGGAAAATTAAATAGCAAATTAGAAATATTTGACAATACATAAACCTGGCCACTAAAATACACAGATTTGCAGGGCACTGGTGGCTTATGCCTGTAATCCTAGCTATTGAGGAGGCTGAGGTCTGAGGATCAAGTTTCATGGCCAGCCTAGGCAGGAAAGTCCATGAGACACTTATCTCCAATAAACCACCAGAAAACTGAAAGTAGCACTGTGACTCAAGTGGTAGAGCACTCACCTTGACCTGAAGAGCTGATGGACAATAACCAGGCCAAGAATTCAGGCCCCAAGACCAATACAAAGTTACAGATTCCCTAATGCATGCAAACACATTTCTGCTGCTAGCAATAGAGTCAAGATAAAAATTCTAAGGAGACAATAATCTGGCATGATGACATTAAGTCTAAGGTGGTGTCTAAAAAATTATATTATTATTTTTGATAAAATTTTAGTATATATCAGTAGGTAACAATGAATTAAACAAATATTTTCTCTGCATTTACATTTATTGCTTCTAAATAAATCCTATTTAGACCTTCTATTAACAAGTACTCTCATAAGCAAGCAGAACACATTCAGGATATCACAAGGCATACAAAACATAGAACATTATTAGATCAAAGAAAAGCAGTGTCCACATGAATGTTAAAAAACAGTAACAGTACTCCAGAAAGTAGCTAATGATTTATTGGGCCCTTAAAAGATTTGATTTAGTTCCCACATAAAAATATCCTAGGTTAACCATGTTTGGTTTAAATACTAAATATTGAAATATGGTCTTAGATACCCTGATATTTCTTCCTATGTAAAAAAGAACTGGTACCATGAAGGTTTGTAAACTTTACCTACATTCTACAACACAAAATATATGTGGGAGGGGAATAAAATATACCTTGAGAAGATTTTCATTTTAATAAGCCTTCATTGAAGGTGGAGGCAAATAGATAGACTCAAAGAACACTCAAGATGACAAAAATGATAAATATGACCAAATGCTCAAATGTGTTAAATATTCCTGAGTCATTTCTCCAGTAGATCCCTAAAGATATATTTCCACTTTTGTTAGTTAATAGTGAAATTCTTCAGAGATCAAAATCAATTCCTAGCAAATATCTGTGAGATTTTACAACAAATGATATTTCTAATAGAGAAAAACTCATCACTGTATTCTTTTTTTTTTTTATCAAAACTACCTATCTTATACTGGCAGTGAATGAAAATATTTAAAAGTAGTGGGATGGAAAAACAAAACTGAATACCACTACAAATGAAGTTAGACCAAAGATAACAGAATCAGGTGAAATCAAATTTTCTTGTAGTTTATCAGTTGGAGGAAGGACGTACTTTTCTGTATGGAACTCTGAAGTTGAGCTGAAGGGGAAAAAGATTTGAGAGGTTGGAATTCCAGCCGGACAGCACTGAGAGAACTGAGAGCTGGCCGCAGAAGGGTTAAAAGAGAATTCTGGAGATGGTTAAGAGATTGGAGTTCAGGCCTTTTCCTTACTGTTGGAAAGATAGCATCTGAAACTGAGTTGCTGTTCACCTTGAAGGCTAGGTAAGGTGAACTTCATGTCTGCATTTTCTCTGGGCGCCAGTCTTCTGTCTCAGGAGAATAAGGAAACATATTTTCTTCACAACGTGTTGTGGCTCAGATTGTAATATTAATATAGATACTTCAGTTTTGCATGTTATCAATTGTAATCTTCCCTGTGTGAACTCAAGGAACTTTGCTTGCTTGCAGGCAACCACAGACCAAGTGCCAGAGAGGCTTCAGAACCCTGGTTTCCCCTAAGTTTATCTGTTTATGTTTTTGTGTTTCTCTAATTTTCTTTGTTTCTGGAATCCTGTAGAACTCTCTAGGCAACAATTTTCTTATACAGTGGGTATGAAAAATGTCAATATTAAGAGCCATGTCAGCAAAGTAAAGCTGATCACTAAGAAAAACTAGTTCCCAGATAGATCATTGAAGAAAAGAAAAACTGAGGAAAGAGAGAATGAGAAAACTAAGAAAAAATGATTCAAAGATAGATACAAAGAGAAAAATAACCAACACAAGTGAGTAGAAAACCAAAAGTAGAGAGAGATTATAGAGGAAAGAAATCTTGTGAGGATACTTTAGAAAACAAACAAGATTTTGAAAAAAGAACATAAAGTTTAGCAACAAATATAGCCTCAGCTTCAAGTAAGACCAAGACCATGAAGTAGTCCAAGAAGTATATAGGGAGAGTAATTTAAGTACATATGGGTTAATCATTCCTTAAGAACACACCAAGGTGCGTAAGACCACACTATTTCAGCAATTCCAGGAAAATTTCATTGAGATAGTTTAATGTTACTCATGAGAATGAGATCTGGTTGCAATCTACCCTTCACC